AGCCTGCATGCAAGGCAACAAGCTACTACTCCTACAAAGGATCACGATGTAGTAGTAGTACACTACACAGAAGGTCCTTCAGGTGAGGTGTGATGTCAGCCTATAGCTATCTCTTTTTGTCCACGCCGGCTTTTGGCCGTAGCAAGCTTCGTCCGGCGGCCGGTAGCGAGGCGAGACGAGACGAGAGCCGAGTCCACGGCATCTTCCTCGATCTCTTCGTCCGACGCTGGCGAGTGGCCCCATCCAACGTGCACGCGTATGGTATGGTGCCCGGCCCTATGCGCAGCGCATGGCATGTGCACTCCTCCACGACCCGGCACGCCGCCATGGCATCGGATCCTCTGCCTCCACCTCCAGTCATGCACGACGGAATGGAAGCACAGTACTACTACTGCTACTGGTTTTGTCTGCCGTGTCGGTCGGCTGAGCATAATATAAACAAAAAATAGTCTGCTAGAAGACAGCCATGCAATGCAATGCAAGCAGTGGTGACTCACTCGTTCGGTGTCTTGACACTCTTTCAGCTTTTAGTAAAGCCACGAGCCCGCTTTGACTTTTGCCCTTCAATAAAACACACTGGTTTTTTCTTCCTTTTTCGCTGATTGCCCTAATAATCTGTGTGGCCCTGCAATTTTTGTTGTTGTACTGGACACGCTGAAAAAGAAGAGGAGACTGTCGGTGCTTGCCGCGGGTCACTCACTTTCATGTACGCTGGTACAACAAAATCAACTGCAAAGCGACTGATTGGGCATGGCCAGACCAACCATTTTGCAACCTAATCTTCTCGGGTTGGCGCGAGCAGCTCATAGGATGGCGATCGCCAAAAGGAGAAAGGGGCAGCTAGCTCGATGCTCGATCGACTCGTCTACAACTATGTTAAAAAAAAAAGAACCACCCAAGGGGTAAGGCGCCGGGCCCACCTTCAAGCTTTTTTTTTTTGAGTGCTTCCCACCTTCAAGCTGGGTTATGTTAATCACCTCCGTTGTCCATTGCAATTCACGGGTGCTCCCGGCAAGAAAAAAAATGCACTGGTGCCACGAGAGCGCTTTGATTGTGACGTGACTTTGCGGAGGTTTCACGGCAACCGCGCGTGGTTAACATAGAGATCGGCAAGATCCGCTTGCCGATGTCTACTTCACTGCTAATAGAGGAAACGAAAACAGGAGACGCAAGGTATCAGTCAATGACACTGTAGTTCACATGTGCGTGGACCATCAACTATGAACAGTGCAGCATTGCTCCCGTCTTTGGCTCTGTCTCTGATGGCAGTGCCCCACGCGGGTACGCACTGTGCTGTCCGTAGATGTCCATCCGTTCCTTCGGTGGGAGGGCAACTCTAACAAACACACTCCGAAATGGTCCCGCCGAGTTCGTCTAGAATAAACGGATACAAAACGCGGCTGAGGGAGTCCTGGACTAGAGGATGTCCGGATAGCCGAACTATCATCATTGGCCGGACTTCAAGACTATGAACATACAAGATTGAAGACTTCGTCCCGTATCCGGATGGGACTTTCGTTGGCGTGGAAGGCAAGCTTGGCAATACAGATATGTAAATCTCTTATCATTGTAACCGACTCTGTGTAACCCTAGCCCTCTCCGGTGTCTATATAAACCGGAGGGT